ACAAAGGTTCTCACAATTTTAAATTCAACTTTTATATATTCGCTCTTTACGTTGGGCAGGGAACACACTGAAGCACCGCACAAATGATGGCACAATAATTATATTGCCAGGAGATCAGAGGAGATGTGTGAGCTATGCGGGCCCCTCTTCTCTGAGCTGCCAGTGTTTGAAATATTGCCATAATGGTTCATTACAGCCTCGGTACTGCGGACGGCACACAAAAGCAGTAGGTTTCAGCAGAAAGTAGGACCGTTGGGGACGCCCGCCTATACTTGCAGTTTAAATTCCAACTTCAGCTCGACAAATCTCTAATAGGATGCTATTGTGCTTCAGCGAGCGAGGAAGGCTAAATCCTTCATTTTAGTCACAATTGAATCTCTACATTATATCAATTTGTAGACTTGCCTCGTATGGTATAAATATAAACCACTCCTCCAAGACAAAATATAGACGGGCCCTAACGAGGCCAGCACAGGCTAACACAAGGCGTTGTGTAATACTAACGAGAACTTGTAAGGGTAAAAATATGGAACCTTTTATTCTCGGCTTGTTTTTAAAGTGCACCTGTCCCCTGGTAAAGTGACTACAGCACTGTGATACAGGCACCCAGGAATCCCTAGCTGCGACCGTGTGGTGTCCACATACATGTTGTAAATGAATGCAATAAAAACCTGTTTTAATGTAAATTGTTAGAGCCAGTTTGAGGGTTTTTTTTTTTTAGTGTATTGCGGTACTTTTATTGTATAGCACTGTTCTATGAACTGCCCATGTGCACCTTACATATACTAGGTATACATTGATCGAGTGGTTGCCATTTTTATTTTGCTTGTATTTTTGCAGGTAGACACCAGAGGTCTCCAGCTGCCATTTGTGCTGTGAAACACAATTTAAAAAACTCCCAAAACCTCCCTTTTGAAATCGGCGCGGAAACCGTGCTGATCTGCAGCCGCCATGGTGTGAATGGGGCCTTAGGTAGACCACAGTGCTCCTCCTGACAATGCCTGCACCTGCTTTTGCATCCAGAAGGATGGAGCCACCTTTGACCAGGCATCACCCACAGTCTGCATGTAGTCAGTTTAGCAGGTGACAGTTGCATCTTAAAGTTCAACTTCAGGGCTATCAACATTGTTTCAATACTTCGTAGATCACTAACTTGCAGCCAGAGAAGTGATGCCTGACAGACAACGGATATGTGCATATTTGTTTGAGGTCAGTGACTAACCAAGCAGTGAAGAAAAAGGATAGCAGCCTAGGGACTTGGGTCATTAGAGAGAACCTATGCTTTCCTTCTTCAAGTCAAAGTAACTGGTTCATGTAATAAAGTAGGGTGTTGGCGTCAAGCCTATCTGGTCAGAACTTACACAAGGCTTGGGCCACTCCCTTTGCACCCATAAGACAGCACTTGAGCCCATCAACTGGCTGCTCAGGCACCTAGTGATGCATTGTGGGAGTTGGGGAAAACCTTGTGGTAACTGATCTCCCCTCCGATCACTGGACCAGGACGTGATGTAATACACATCACTTCCGGGAACAGTCTGTAATTTCTCCGGCTGCTGTAGCCGGAGATAAAGCTGGTAAAGCAGATCTCTTCATCAGCTTCTTTGAGATCCATAGGTGACATTAGGGGTCTATGAGACCCCTGATGTCTCCAAAAAGAGGACCTGTAACAATGATGCCTGAGTGGCCCCAAAACGTTGCTTTATGACGAGATGTGTGTACATCAATAAAATAACCACTCGTTGAAGATTTTACTTTGGTGCGCTGGTGATATACTTTACTGCATAAAGAGGACCTGTCACTGTATCTGTGCCATCACCTAGGGGGCTTGTTAGGCCAGTAATTAATAGCAATAAAGTTAAGTGTAGAAAAAAAGTCCTCTGCCCCCACATACAAACGTACAAACACATGTCGCCTACGTGTAAAAACGACAATCGCACCACGCATGTTACACATCACTACGAACGGGGAGTGCGAGCACCTGTTATGTACAAAAGCAATCTTGTTTAAAAGGAAAACTGAACTTTGTGACAGTTCCGGGGATTGGTGATGAGGCCAGGGCTGTCACACAGAGCGGGGAGAATCTTCAGCCTTTCGTAAGCTCTGATTCATGCGACTCGGAGCTTACATTGGCCTTCCTGTCCTTGCTTGCGGATGCTGAATGGAGCACATTGAGGGATTGAACCTTGTGCAGCTAATGAGGCTGGCATTAAAGCAATGCCAGCCTCAACACAGGCTCATTTTAAAGACTCCACTCAAATTGCATCAATGACATTCTGAACTAGGATAGTGAAATCCTAGCTCCCGGATTTGGGCTTCAAAGAGACCCTGTCACCAACTTAAAAAACTGGGTGCAGATGCCACGCAGGCGCTCATCCACCCTGCAAATGGTCAAACAATCCAGAGAAGGGCAGCCGGTAGTACACCACAATCTCCAAAACATGTAAAACTTTATTTTTCCAGAAACAAACTTCAAGAAGCCCTGCCTTCTCACGCGTTTCACCCACCACTGGGCTTAATTGTAAATGAACACTACGTTTAAAGTGACATTAAAGTCAAAACAAATTTTCCCTACCCCCAATGTTAATGAAAGCACTTACCTTAAATGAGGTTTCCTAATCCGATCTTCTTTCCTGATGTTTTCATCTGTCCCTCCAGCGTTGCGGCGGCTCTCCGATCCAGCACTGACTCCTCTCTGCTTGCAGGCACTTCTGATCCCACGGTGTCTGCAGGCGGGGGGACGCGTCCATAGACTTACCTTGCGTCTCTGCTCGTCTCCCGGCTGAAAATCCGAACTGCGCACGCGCCCGCCCCAAGATGCTTTGCGGCCGCCCGAGCAGTTTGGGATTCTCAAGTGATTGCCCGCCCCCCGGCTCCCCGATTGGTCAGAAAGCCGACTCCATGCTCCCTCGAGGTGGCTTCCTCTTAATCGGGAAGCCGGGTGGCGAGTCATTACACGCCGCCTGGCTTTCTTAATGGGACTTCCGGTATCGGTATTCGCTATTGGCGAGTACCGGAAAAAAATATCACTACTCATACCGAAAAACCGGTATAGGTGCATCCCTAGTTTTGAATGGCTTTACAAAAGCAGAGTGCGCTAGAGAGACCTCACCAGCGTAGTGGTCATATTAAAAGCAGACAAACAGACTAAAGGTGGAAGGTCATCAGTGCAACCACAGACAGGAGACGGCACCGGCCTGATCTGGTTAGAACAGCCAATGAATGCTAAGGCTGTCATGTGACAGGACACTTTAGTAACAAGCATGCGGTACCTATTATCACACCAAATACTGAAAGGCTTGCTTCCTCTACGCATGCATGGGGGGCCTATTTAAGGCATGCTGATATGCTAGACATACTAACAACTACTAAACTAGTGAAATCATAGCTCCTGGAGTTGGGCTTCAAAGAAACCCGTCACCAACTTAACTGCAGGTAAAAGCACACAAAAATCCAGTATTTGGAATGTTTACTGTAACGCAGTGTTTTTCCTTTCCAGCAATTTTTTTTTTTTTTATTGATTTGCAATGTACCTTCCAACTTGTCAGCAGATGTGACTAGTCAATTCCCTAGCACTGCGTCCTCCCTTCTCCCCCATCATAGTCCTCTCCTCTTCTGGGAGTGTCTCATTGTCAGTGCTGTCCTAGCTGTTCCGCCCCACACAACCTTTTATGTAGCTACTGGGGGAGGAGCTAAGGGGAATATACTTGAGTGACAGCTTTGAGTGTGTTGACATCACATCCAAGTTGGTGGCATCCAGCGGCCCTCTCAGACACTTTGGACGTCTACACAAGGGAGGTATATAACATGTATAAAATCCAATAAATGTACATATAATCTGCCAATGGGGTCTCTTTATAGTGTCAGTGACCCCACAAATTGTTTTTTTTTGGGGTCACTGACTCTAAAACTAATTTCCATGACTATGTGACCTCAACCGCACAGGACAGGAATGTCCTGCTGTGATGTCTGCAAGATGCGTCACGCGCTGCCACTAAGCCCCACCCACCTATCAGACAGCGTTGCCTGGAGTAACATGGTGAAGATTACGTGACCACATTAAAGAAGAGCCCCCCAAAAAAGTATCTGACATCACCGAAAAATTGTGATCCATGGACAATGGTGAGTCCATTTATAAAGCGGTGATTGTGACTTCTACCAATCACTGCCATTTAGGACACATGGACCTAGAAGATTCACCTGCAGAGAATACTTGTTGAATGTCAGATAGATAGACCCCCTAGAAGTAATGGTCTTCTTTGCCGCTCATATGCCCAAAGCAGTTCAAATGAGGTTACATACACTTTAGATGTTTTTAGTATTCTATGTAGAGGGGTTCATCGACACTCCAAGCGCACACAGGGGTTCATCGACACTCCAAACAGTCAACCAATCCACAGAGAACCAGTCCACCGCAATGTCCATCACTTGTCAAATGTTATTTTTCTAAAACCAAACTTCAAGAAGCCTTGCCATCACACGCGTTTCACCCACCACCGGGCTAAATTGTAAACGATCACTGTGATTAAGTTCAGTCGTGGGTGAAACGCGTTAGTGGTTGGGTTTTGGGTGGCTTGCCAGAGAGGAGCGTGCTCGAAAGACCTCACTAGCGCAGTGTTCATATTCAAAGCACACAAACAAGCTAAAAGGCGGGAGGGTGAGACAGGAAAGCGGCAGGCTGTGAATGGCGATGCAGTGTGAATCACAAGAGTGGCTGAACAGAATAATAGGTTTCCAAAGCAATAAGATATCACACAGACGCATTTCAACCGTGCACTTGGCTGCAGAGCCACTTTACAAAAAATGTAAAGCTATTTCCAAACCTGAACTGGAAGAGTGACAGGTGGAAGCTGATTGGTTGGTAGGGGCAATGCCAACTTTTTTTTTTTTCGGGATTTGAGCCCTTCTGTTTTCTTGCTTTTAGCAGCCTGCAACGGATGACAATGCATATGCGGAAGAGTCAGAACAGAGGCAGCACGGCATGCAGTGTGTTCGGTGCTTACCTGTACATTTAAGGACTGTGCAGCAGCCTGTAAGCTTGTTCCAGCAAGCTGGACCTATGATACAGGGCAAACACAGGATGTCAATCTGGTACCAGCAAAACGTTATCACCTTCATGCCATTACAGAGAAGACATTCAAACAAACAGCGTCACTGAAATACATTCTGTCAGACCTGCCAAGTGCTTCCATTCTGTTCACCCAGTCTTGTGACCCAGGTACCCCTACCAGACAGCACGGCCATGTCCTGGACCTACGATGCAGCAGCTTGGCTTGGTGAGCTCCTGGAGCGAGCCATCACTTTGATGTCTCCTAGTGTCAGCATGTTCACTGTCAGCACAAGCCTCATTGGCTCCTAATGCCACCCCTCCCTCTCCAAGTCTATATAGCTACTGCACAAGGGGTTACAGCAGGCGGATATCAAGAGTAGTTACACTTAAAAATGATTTGAATGCATACAGACTGCATTATTTTTTTAATACCTGCCTAGAGTACAGAACTTTCACTTTTTACTTATTTTCGCCATGCTTCTAGAAAATGTATTACTTCAGATAGTTTAATATGAGCTGGTCATGTGACCCACCTGAGCAAGGGGGGAAAAAAAGAGACTTGATGGATTGTACACACAAATACCGGTGCCTGCGTTATTTTATTGAGATATAATGGAGGCAATCTCAAGCGGCCAATTGCCCGGCTCTGTTCACCAACAGAATATCTCTGAAGTCTTGAGAGAAATAAAGTGTGCGGTAAAAGTAAAGTATAGAGTGACGCGGAGTGCAAACATCTCCGGAGATGAGCTGGTGGAGTGGACAGGCTGCGGAAGTGCGGATGAAAATGCTTTTAGGAGGCATTTGGCTTCTGAAGAAGATGGTAGAACGTTGTACTATGCTTGTCTACTGCTCATCCAATAAAACTAGCACAATGGTGATCCTGCTGGCTGGGCTTTCATCTTCAGGAAGACGTCCATTTATAAGTCAAGTGGAGCCCGTTCCTTTCCAAAGATTCCGCACTCACAACTGAAAATGCCCGACATGTCACCCACTTCATTGTTGTAGAAGAGAACAGCCGCTCTGTGCTAACTTTAATGTGGACCATGTGACAAGGTGGGTGTTTTAAAATGTCCTCCCCCCCGCACGTGCATGAGCGGGAAACTGTCCAAATTTAAAACAGCCAACAGAATGAACAGAACAGAATGAATACTTTCCTGACAAAGAAGAGTATCTGTATCACTCTTACCTGGTGGAGGTGTCCAAGAAAGGCCTGTGTTGTGATGGGCGTTCCGACAGACATTGCTTGCTTTTGAAAGTCCAGACCATTTGTTTGAGTGCCTGCAAAGATTTGCAGTGTTTAGTAATGAGTTAAAGGACATGTGATTGGGATATGCAGATGAGAGAAGACACGTAAATCAGACAATGGAAATCTCGCCTAGAACCATCCTGCCAGGGAGACCCTTTTTTCCCCAAATGCAGGGTGCCGGTACAAGGCAGGACTTTCTCCAAGAATGGCCGGTGAGGGACCGGTCGGTGCTTGGTCCCCCTGCTCACCCTCAGAACTGCAAGCTCTATCCTGGGATTCAATAAATGAGGTACTTAATGAATGGGGTTTCACTTTCAAGTGCATCTGCGTGCTGGATGAGTGTGATCCTAGTTCATTTTATTACTTCATTGCTGTGCTGTATGTGTATAGGCCAATTTAGTTGGATCTGTATGTGCGTTATAATTAATCGAAATTAATTGATTAAAAAAAATTTCGATTAATCGAACACGAAAATTGTAATATATATATATATATATACCGTGTTTCCCCAAAAATAAGACACTGTCTTATATTTCTTTTGGCTCAAAAAAACACACTAGGTCTTATTTTCGGGGTAGGTCTTTTTTTTTTTTTTAATATACAACAATCCAAAGTAAACGCAAATCCAAATTAATCAAAAATGGCAAAGTTAAGAATAGGGTGATCAGGGGTGCCATACCTTTCCAAGAGCAATTTGGTAACCAGAATGAGTGAAGCGCACTTTCACTATGGATTCCTCACAGGCAGAGTGCATTTGGTATCACTTCGCCTGTGACAGGAGTCGGCGCTATAGAGGAGGCATCGGCTTATGCGGCTCTGCCTAGTTTCCTCTAGCGCCGGCTTCACTGGCACCGCTGATTCTCTCCCGCGTCTCTTCAAGTTCCCCCTTATGACACCACCGGCCCAGGGAATGGTCAAAACTAGGTCTTATTTTCGGGGTAGGTCTTATATTTTAGCAATTCCCAAAAATGGTACTAGGTCTTATTATCGGGGTAGGTTTTATTTTTGGGGAAACAGGGTATATAAACCCTTGCCACTGGTCCTTAACGCCAGAAGCGGAGGCGAGCTTCCAGATAATATGATCACCTTGATCGGCATTCACAGTGATCATGTATTCAGGAGCATATTCCGTCTCTTGTCTCTGTTAACAGTGACCGAGAGCCATCAGTGACAGTGCGGTCACTGTGCTCGGGGGGGTGAAGAACAGCTGCGATCCCAGCAAAACACAGCAGCACAAACTGTATGTATATATGTGCCAGCCTCGTGGTAAAGCCTCCCACCGCGCTGCCACATATATGCACATGGCCGACAGCAAGTGGTTAAAAAATAAAACGACACCTAAGCCCCACCCCCTGAGCTAATTCCTTGGTACAGCATTTTGCATGCCGAATCAAAGAAGCGCAGCACATCTTAGAGGCTTCCTGTAGTTCATGTGAGATATTCTGAGACATAAACAGATCGATCACGTGACTGTTCCCTTTAGTTTAACATACAGCAAACAATGTATAACTACTGAGTGCTATGTTGGGGTAGGCTGAAGTTTTTTTTTTTCTTTTGCAGGCCCTGGGACTGCATTTATGAAAAGGTACTTCCATCGCATACTATGTCCACTTTAAGTCTAACTTATCTATATTTATAAGAATGCAGTCAGACACACGTTAAGCGCCTCACCTGTGTTTCCATCCCCGCTGTCTGCTGATTTGCTGCTTTCTGACGGATTATTCATTCTTGCATCTGTAGAGGAAAAAAGGAAAAAAAAAACCTGTTTAAAAAACAGTACCGATTTTTTTTCTCTATAGACAGACCACAAGCAAGACATTCATGAGAGTACACAGTGTATGCTTCCTGTAGAAAAGACAAACAATGTAGCGAATTGTAGACATTACAGACTGGTGAAAGATAAAACTCCGGGTACAAAAACTTTCATTTCAAGCTTTTCCTCAGTAGCCGTAAAATGATATAAATCCACTTTCTATGCACAAAATGCCCTTTCAAACCCAATCATTACAACATTGAAGTAATTGTGACATCATCACTGTGCTGCACATATCCTCTGAAGAGGTCAAAGTTGTGGGAGGGGCCCAGAAGGCCCCACCCACTACAGGCTGCCTGCTGAGAACTACAGGAGGGGGTGGAGACAAGCCCAGTCACCCTGCACAAGGGGGAGAGCGCAGCAGTGGGCGGTCTTTATTAAAGGAGGGGGCGGAGATAAGCCCAGTCACCCTGCACAAGGGGGAGAGCGCAGCAGTGGGCGGTCTTTATTACAGGAGGGGGTGGAGACAAGACCAGTCACCCTGCACAAGGCGAGAGAGCAGCAGTGACTGGTCTTTATTACAGGAGGGGGCGGAGACAAGACCAGTCACCCTGAACAAGGAGGGAGAGCAGCAGTGACTGGTCTTTATTACAGGAGGGGGCGGAGACAAGACCAGTCACCCTGAACAAGGAGGGAGAGCAGCAGTGACTGGTCTTTATTACAGGAGGGGGCGGAGACAAGACCAGTCACCCTGAACGAAGAGGGAGAGCAGCAGTGAGCTGTCTTTATTACAGGAAGCTCCATGTTTCACGCTTGATTACTGCACAGGTCTGGAAGAAATACACAAAGCTCACCGAGATTCAAGAATAATACACAGGACTCTTGTATGAGGACAACATTCGCTTATATTGTTGTTCTGCTTTAAATACAAATGTCACCCTGTATAAAGGAGAGAAAACTTGCAATGGCTAGAATGCATCTGCAGTGTTCCTAAATGTTATAAAAGGACTCCCTGCCAGAATGCCGGGCTTTTTTTCCACCCACCTTGAAGTTTTGGGTGCCCTCACCCAATCTCAAGGCAGAAAAAAATGTAAAAAACTTAAATGTACAAATGTAAAAAACAATGTGTGGCCCCTTCAAAGTCCATACCAGACCCTTCTCCCAGATAGGTGTCTGCTATGGATTTGAAGGGGGGGGCTCCATGCAAAAAACACAAAAAAGGGTTCCCCTTTAAATCAGAGTCCTCCGTCGTGACAGTTCAGAGAGAAGGTTGTGATTGGTCCAGTTGGTGGAACCTCCAGGAGAGGTATGTAGGTTGTGACAGTTCGTAGAGAAGGTTGTGATTGGTCCAGTTGGTGGAACCCTAAGGAGAGGTATGTAGGTTGTGACAGTTCAGAGAGAAGGTTGTGATTGGTCCAGTTGGTGGAACCCTAAGGAGAGGTATTTACATTGTGACAGTTCAGATAGAAGGTTGTGATTGGTCCAGTTGGTGGAACCCTCAGGAGAGGTATTTAGGTTGTGACAGTTCAGATAGAAGGTTGTGATTGGTCCAGTTGGCGGAACCCTCAGGAGAGGTATTTAGGCTGTGACAGTTCAGAGAGGAGGTTGTGATTGGTCCAGTTGGTGGAACCCTCAGGAGAGGTATTTAGGCTGTGACAGTTCAGAGAGGAGGTTGTGATTGGTCCGGTTGGTGGAACCCTCAGGAGAGGTATTTAGGCTGTGACAGTTCAGATAGAAGGTTGTGATTGGTCCAGTTGGCGGAACCCTCAGGAGAGGTATTTACATTGTGACAGTTCAGAGAGGAGGTTGTGATTGGTCCAGTTGGTGGAATGTTCAGGACACAGTAGATCAATATGTAGGATGTTCTCTCTCCCCAATGCCTGTATCTGTCTGCACACGCTCCCTGACTTTTAGGCCTCAGATATAATTTGCCGGCTCCGGCTAATCCCTCCGAGTCTGGAGCACACAAGCCCCACATAGCAGATAAATGTAATTTATATTGTGTTGAAAACTGCATGGCTGTTCCTCTTCTCACAAACTTCACACTCAGCGCCGTCTCACCATCGCCATGGAAACCGCTTGTTTATGACAGGAAGGATTTGCTAAAAACTCTCAATTTACAATGTGCGGAGCGAGTGATACACCGATACCAAAGATCTGTGCTCTGGACAACACTGGCCATGTATGCTGCTTAAAAGAAGAACTCCGGGCATATGAAATCTTAACCCTCTCTGTGGTGCTACCCCCGCTCTGCAAGGGTTAAGGGCTCATTCTGTCTAGGGGCTAAAATAACAGATATACTCACCCAAAACTCAGCCCCGCTTGGCTGCTAGACCAGTCCTTACAGACTCGAGGGGAACGTGGCTGCCAGGACTATTTAGCAGCTAGGTGGGATCGATTCTTTGGCACGTATATGTCACAAAAGTCCTTTGTGAATTCCACATGGGCCTGGGTAGAGCTCACATAGGGCTAAAACACTCTACAGGTTCACATTAAGAACAAGGACATTTTAAATATAATATTGTTAATATATATTAAA